ATTCACATAAATAGTGAATGGGTCCTAAGACGGTACCTTGTGGTACTCCACATGTGATCATTTGTTGAGTGCTTATTTTGTCTTTAATTTGTACTGACTGTTTCCTATTTGATAAGTAATTTCTGAATAATTTGAGCACGATACCCCTAAATTCTAATTCCTACAAGGCACCTATAAGCAGTTCATGATTAACTGTATCGAATGCCTTGGAGAGATCTAGAAATATACCAATTTTCATTAATTCATCTTCCATAACCTGGTATATTTTTATGTGTTTTTCGCAATTGCATCCCGGGTGGATTTTCCCTGTCTGAACCCATATTGTTTATCTGAGATCATTTAATATTTATCCAGATATTGTGTCATTCGACCTTTGATTATTTTTTCAAATTTTTTTGTTATATTTGATATGAGTGACACGGGTCTATAGATCTCCGGTTTTGTCTTTTCTCCTTTTTTAAAGAGAGGTTTTACAATGCTCAGTTTGAAGTGTGAAGGACAAATTCCAGTAGAGAATATTCTATTACTGAAGCAGTAAGTATTACTGCTTCAGTTTTGTGTTTAAGTGTTTCTTTTAATTTCCAACAAAGACAGTGTACCCTTATAATTCATCAACAATGAAAGTTTTTAATTTTATAAACAGTTTTAGTATAAAACACGTAATGTTGGGGATTCTGTGTCCCCTAGTACCGGACACAAAGGTGTCCCTCAACAACGGACAGTTTACAAGTTGCTTTTTCTACTAAGCATTTATATTTATCATCATAATTATTATACGTTGTTTCAGAGGATAGAAGAACGGAGAGAAATCGAAATGGAAGAGACGAAAAAGAAAAGTAAATTATCTATCGTAGTTTACAAACTACGATAGATAAGGTGTTGTCCAAAAAATGAGTTTAAGGGAAGCTTCACTACGCTACAATATCCCAAAAAGCACTCTACATGATAAAACATCGGCATTGAACCGTGGGGAAGAAGTGACATTGCAACCAAAGCTCGGTAGATTCACTAATACCTTCTTACCTGAGTACGAACAAGTTTTCGTGGACCACGTGAAAGATTTATCCAATAGATGTCTGCCGCTGATGAAGAAGGAGTTTCTGAAATTAGCTGTCGACTTGGCTGAAGCAATGAAGATCCCCCATCGTTTCAACAAAGAGAAGCAAGCTGCCTGGAAGCATTTTCATTATGATTTCATGCAGAGACATCCGGACATTTCCTTGAGAGCACCAGACTCGACAAGCATGATGCGAGCCATAGGGTTTAATAAACGGCAAGTCGATATATTTTATGACAACATGGAAAGACTAATAACACAGTACATTCCAACATTTATGAATGTGATGAAACCGGAGTCAGCTGCGTGCACAAATATCAAAAAGTTCTCGCTCCAAAGGCTGCCTGTCAAGTGGGAGAGCTCACTTCTGCTGAAAGGGGCAAAAATATAACAGGTTTGTTTTGTATAAGTGCTAACAGCCACTTCATACCGCCATTTTTTGTCTCTTTTAGGTAATGGATCAATGATCGGCTCATGATCAATGCTCCAGCCGAAAGCGTTGGCGTGGCTCAGCCAAACGGTTGGATGAATTGTGATTTTTTCGTACAATGGTTGTAGACTTTCGTTAAATACCCCCGACAAAAGAGAACTCTGTGCTGCTCCTACTGGATGGCCATTGCAGCCACAAGATACTGGCGGTTATCAATTTTTGCCGAGAAAACAATTTTTATGTGAGGAGCTCACCACCACACATCATCCACAAGCTCCAACCACTGGACAGAACATTCACGAAGCTTATAACCAACGATGCGACAGGTGGATGAGAGCAAACACCGGATCTCGGATAACCGACTACGATATTGCTGGTCTGGTCAAAAAAGAGTTTATTAAAGTAGCTCGGCTGGATATTGCGGTGTCTGGGTTTGGATGCATAGGAATTTACCCATTTGATAGGCATTTATATTCTGATGTGGATTATTTGGCTGCAGATATGACCAATATTCCACGAGTCAGAAACTTCGGTAAACGTACCAAGTTGCAGCGGGGAAGTTTCCGTGACGTCTTGCGATGCACAACTGTCCAACGATTTGGTCTCAGAAGAATCGGCAGTTACTTCTAGAGAATCTATCAACGAACCAATAATCAGCAGTCCCAAGCCGTCGACGAGCTTTGATCCAGATGTTGTTTATTCAGATTGTCCATAAATTGTCACCCTTGTCGGATGCTGCCGTAAAAAGATCAGCAGCACGGAAGAGAAAAAGTGAAAGAAGCGAAATTCTAACATCATTGACCTACAAAATTGCTGATGAAGAAAAAATAATGAAAAAACATTATGGAGAAAAAAAAAAGAATAAAATCCAAGTTCAAAACAGCAATAGAAGAGAAGGAGAAACGAACCAAAGGTGTGAAGGCCGAAGGAAAAATTCGACATGGAACGAAGAAAAAGTCCCCACTAGGGGACTTCCCCCTAGATGTGTAGAATAAAGAACTGAATCAATTATTATGATTATTATTCAGGTTTTATTGAAGCCCAAGAGAGTCCTCCTCGAATTGAATAACTCTGTACAGTTTGATGCCACACCTTTTCTCTTGGGAATATACCTTCTGTTTGCCCTCTGATATGTTTTCAACCGGAGATAAACTGATGTCCAACAAAACCACTTCACTTTGGCGTTTATAACTTTTCAGATAACAACTAAGTTTCTCCAGGAGAACAATGTACAGTTGTTTTCGTCAGTTACGAGAACGTCTTTTGTTTTACTTGTATCCATATGCGGCTTTCTACGAGAAAATGGAAACAATAAATTCTATACACTTTACTATTTGGTTCGTTTTGTGAAACATTCGAAAGGTATTGGTTCATTGTGGTGCAGAAAACAGGTTTTCTGTTTACAGTCGTACAGACAAAGTGAAAGACGTTACAATATATGGTCGATCCGTGAAACCGTTGTTTTTCTTGTTATGCAGAAAGACAGGTTTTGTGTTTTCAATCGTAAAAGTTGAAGTGTAAATATTAGTAGTAGTATTCTTTCAATATTATATCCGCGTTACACGAAACAAAAAAAATTGAGAATCCCAGCAAAATTATCTTATATTTATTATTATTGACGATAATGTGGATAAAAACTCGTTGAATTTGATTTGCTCGAGATTATGTGCTTCTTCACTTAATGAACTGCTTAGCATTTTTATGTGAACTACACTAGATCTGGTCCTCGCAATCAAATTAATTATGTTTATATTAGTCAATGTACTCGTATACGCTGTCTGTTCAAAAGAGCTGAATTTTAATGGTACACTTGTTCCTCTCAGATTCGCTTGTGCGACCTTTTTTTTCAATCCTCATAGCAGTTCTGATATGCACCTTTTGTTATGTTCTTGAGCTCTTTCAGCGATTCGGTTTTTATCTCCTCAATCGTTGCAAAACGTCGTCCTTTCAAGGGCATGTTCAAATCTGGTGAAAATGGTGGCTGAGGCATGATTATGGTGTTGTTTTTGGCGAAAAATCACGAACAAGCAATGATGAGTGAACAGATGCGTTGTCGTGATGCAAAAGTCCTGAATTGTTTTTCCACAGTAGCGGACGTTTTCTTTGTATTGCAAGAACTTCTGATGCACTGAGCCACGGTAATCGAAAAAAAAAAAACAGTGAGCAAAACCTTGATCGAACTTGGCGTCCTTTTTTGGTGTTGGCTCTCCTGGGCTCCTCCATTGGGACGATTAGACTTTGGTTTTGATGTCATAAACGGGTTCCCATGATTCGTCGTCAGTTATGACCCTTTCAAGTAAGTCTGGATCACTGTTGATGTCATTCAACAGTACCTGAGTAATACTAATTACATTATACATTATACATTAATAGTAATACATTATTGATCGCGTTTTATTCAAAATAGTATAGGAACAAAATTATCGACTGAAAACTTCTACCAATTACCCTACAATAAGTCAGCCGATTTTCTGAAGTTGTTCGGCATCCCTAACAATTCTGTATCACAGCTCTTAGGGTTTCCCAGGAGTGGTAGTGAAAACTTCATAACTTAGCCATATGGAAAAAATGCAACGAGATCAGGTTATATAGCTGGCAACCCCTTTAGACCACTTTGTCGTTTCAATGTTTGGGAAATGTTCGTCGAAAAACGATTTCACGCAAAAGTCCAAGTATGGGGTTTGCAACATCCACATGTATTTTTGATTGAATAGGGACTGAAGTTGGTTACTAAAATGTGTCTGTGTCTCATGACTTCAACCTTCAACATGCATGTGACGGAAGGTACATGGGTGAAAGGCGATTTGAATCGTGCGAGAACCAAATCGAGATTACATCATCAGGTATAGCACAGTTGATTCAGTCAGTCAGTTTTGCGAATAATTCGAAAAATTTAACAGAACGCATTTTTTGTGGAGGAAGTATAGTTTTTTATCGATGTTTTTTGGGGTTTCCACCTCACACAATTTGATAAGATGAATATTCTGATGAACATTGAGGATCATTAACAGAATCAAAATTGTCAGAACACATTTCCAAATCAAACTATGAACATCGAGTAAAATGGAACGAGACGAACATAATTACCCAATGAACTTTCCGCTGAGAATTATAAGCTCAAAGAATCAGTTCCTGTCGTAGAACACCTCGTACTTATCCGATTGTTTTAAAAGTCAATCAACAACTTTGACGTTTTTCACATCTCAAAACTCTGTTGACATCTGTCGTGCAAGTTTGAAAATATCACTAATCGAAGGAAAAACCAAGTTATATCGGTTTCTTTTCAAGTTTGAAGACTGAGGCAGATTATGACCTTCCAAACGTTCAGATACAGTTTTTGAGCTATTTTTTTGATAAGCAAAATTATTAAATACTGTTACGTTTTCTCCGTGATTTCGACAATAATTGGCTACACTGTAGAATTTAACTCAACTTTATTTCACCACTCCACTGTCAATACAACAGAAAAACTCTAACTGAACTTCAGATACTCAAATGTCCGTTGTCTTATCAGCTTACTTCGTAGCGCACTTTCAACTAGACCAGCCTTCTCTGCCTGTCCGTAGTGCTTATATATCTGGATGGTAGTCTTCGGTAGCCGATGGAATTATTCTCGAAGCGACGTAATACCTAGAAGGATCGAGAATACAAGTAAGGCTGAGCACGACCAGTCGATCGGCGAAGACTAGCGGCGACAGACGTTAATTTTTCAAGGAATAATTTACAACAATAAGATAAGTTACTGATAAATAGTAGGTACATTTTTCTTTGTGAAACATACTCCGAATTTACGCAGGAACTTATCGGGCTGAACAGGAAAGTTTGCTCTATATTCACAACCGTATAAAGTTATTCATTATAATTTTTATTGATTTCAAATTGTGGAGGATGGAAGTCATTCAAAGAGGTCGATGAAAAACTGTGATTTCTTCTACAAAAATAACTTTGGTATTATTAGGAACTTTGTTCTTGGACTGTTTTCATGTATTTTGGAAATTTTGCTCACCTTTTCCTTTGATCTGAGTTTCGCCTCGTTCTGTAACCTTGTAGCTAGGAGGTAACAGTTTTCTTGTATATTGAGAGATGTGAATTTTCATGGCCTCGCTGCTCGATTCCATCCTTGATGCGGTGTTGACGCTATCTCCAAAGAGGCAGTATCGAGGCATCTTGAGCCCGACTATTCCTGCCACTACCGCTCCAGAATGAACTCCAACTCTGATTCGAAGATGTTGACCTGCATGAGGGACAACTAGTTGTTTAATATGGAGGAGTGAAAAATAGGGAGTTAATAATATTCAAGGTGATTCTTTTGGGACTCCAAATTTTCAACTACTAACAGGGTGCTAAGGCTTGAAAAATCATTTTCTTGATTTTCTATCTCAGTTAAACTCTTATGCACTAAAAGACATTTTGCTGAACAACATGAATTTTGGAAATTACTTCTGAAATTCGCATCACTATCTGATTCGCTATAAAAAATTAAATTCGTTCATTTGGATCTCTGGAAAAAATAATTTGAGTAACTTTAGATGATGGTTCATTAAAAAAAAATCCAGATAATAAAATCATAAAATTGAAGTAATCTGAATACATTTCTGAATGTAAAGTCTCTAAACCTGAAAACACAAAAAATATATTGAGTCGAATGTTGGGTTTTAATAGTTTTACAAGAAACTGTGATGTTTTGAGACGTCCCCTCAGGAAATATTCTGAACGATATTGAGGTCCGGTGACCTAGCAGGCCATACTTGTGGTCCATTGCAATTTCGGTTTGAATTTTAGTGCGCCAGAGCAGTGCATAAACCACAAATGATTTTCATTGAAATTAATTTCAAGATTCAATACAAATAAGACTTGAAATGTTCGGAATTTTTTTACGTCAATTAATTTTTATCGATATAATTTTGACACCTGGATTACATTATTGTATTTTCGTATGGCCTATGTTATTCGAATGGAATGTGATGGTGAGAACATTTTCAAATAAAGATAATTTTTGTGTTTATCCATTACAAGCAAGCGAATAACTTTTTCTCTTAGACTAATAAGTATATTGTCAATTCAACTGTTTCATACCTACCGGTAGACGGGTCCTTCAAATCAGTAATGGCGACCACCATATCCAGAGCCATGTCACACACCCTCTCGGCATGATTCTTCTCCTTCTCCGGGGCTCCGCTTACGACCATATAAGCATCTCCTATGGTCTCCACCTGGGGCCAGCAGCATGGCAAATATTTTGAGGGATTGGTGATAACCATAATGTGCAAAATACATAACAGTGCAGTAATTAAACACACACATGAAAATTAAGATAACTTTGAACATACAGAAGGAATTTTAATCGGTAAACTCCAAGTTTGAAATTGTGATATCTTAGTGATAAATAACCAGAGTGGTCCCATAAGTACCCGGCCTGAACTAGAGATGGCGGTAGTTGTTTGAAAAATATAATTGTATTAGAAAGTACACAATCTATAAAGCATAGGTTTTAAGTTTGAAGACGCTGCGTTGTTTATTATTTGTTTGGTAGCCATCAAGAGCGAACGTTTTCGGTCAGTTTGTAAAAATGAAGAAAGTTGTCATTGTTTATTTGGAAGGCGTCAGCCCAACCAATATAAAACCTGATATGGGATCTATTCTGGGTGAGTCTGGTCCTTCTCCTATAATGAGGACATACGAGCTGCCAAGGCAAGCATCGGAAAGGTCGACCAAATGAGGTGACGAGTCCATAAACGCTGAAGAAAATCCACAAAGCGGTACTAAATGATCGTCGACTGTAAGTGCGTGAGCTAGCAGACTTAGTAGGCATTTTAAAAAATGTGGACCATCGCAAAATTTGGAAATGAGAAATCTGTGTGCCGCGTTTGCTCACATTCGAGTGTTTAGCAGAGTTTCATAGAAACAAAGCAGAATTCTTGAGTCGTTCCATGACTATGGTTGAAACATGGGTCCATCACTTTACGCACGAGACAAAAGAACAATCGTGGTAGTAGAGTCAACAGAAAGAACCGTCTCCAAAGAAAGCGAAGACCGTTTCATCTGCAGGCAAGGTCATGGCATCGGTTTATTAGGATGCGCGTGGGATAATTTTCATTGACTTAAAAAAGGTATAACTATCAGCAGCTAGTATTATGGGAATTTATTGCAACGTTCGATTGAAGACATCAAGCAAAAACGTCCGCACTTGGCTAAGAAAGAGGTGTCGTTTCATCAAGACAATACACCAGCTCACAAATCCATCATTGCAATGACCAAAATTAACGAATTCAAGTTTGAATTGCTACCTCATGCACCGTATTTGCCAGATTCAGTCCTCTCGGACTATTTTCTGTTCCTAAACTTTAAGAAATGGCTCAATGGTCAAAGATTTTGCAACGATGAGAAAGTGATGTGGGTAGTTATTATCTATTTTGAGGAGCAAGACAGTTCTAGGAGTGCTATAGAGCTGTAAGGAGATTATGTTAAGAAGTGAATACATCCTCATACCGTTTACTTACTTCATGCTCATCATTGCAATTGTTGGAGTCAATTTTACTGTAAAAATGTTTACCCCTCTTGTCAATTCCATAATATATTGCAAGTAAAAATAGAATTTAAGAAAATATACCAGTTCTGTTGTATTCCCTTGTATCAACTATGTTACCAGTGAAGTCTCTATCAAATTGACTTTTTCATCATTCGTTTTACTCGAAACTTGACATTGGCATAAATTTCTGCATCAATTGTTGTCACATGATTAGCATTATCTCTCAAATTACTATTATCAAAGAAGATTTTTATAAATGTATTTTTATCCGACATGCAAAATTTTATCTGCATAAGATAAATTTGATTTTCTTACTTTTACCATTTTTTGTATATTGTGTGTTTTTTTACAAAATTCAAAAATGATGATAATGAGTACAAATTTCCACAATATAGATTTTATTTCAAATACGCGTTTAACTACATAGTAGCATCCTCAGACTGGGGTGAGTGAAACTTTGTAATGGTCTTCAAGAACAGTTTTATCAATTTTTTCATTGTTAAGTAACGGGTCAGTATATTCAAAATGGAAAGATAGTTATTCTTTCTTGACCAGATAACATAAAACATCTATTTTTGTTGATGTATTAAGTGTCTCTGAATATAATTTTAATGATATATTTATCTGAAAGGCCCATTTTTTAGCTGACTGGAGTCAGGTACAAGGTTGATGAAATTGCACAAAAGTTTTTCATTTTGGGGATATCTCTTCTCAGATCCAAAAGATCACTAGTTGTTTACGCCAAAAAATAGAATTGTCGAATTTAATTATTTTACTCTACCGCTTCCATTTCTGATGATATAAGAAAGCTGGTGAAACTTTCGATATTGTTTCGTTTCGTTCATTACATTTTTGTAGCCACTGTAATAACAAACTCACATGTGAATTACTATAGAATTTGTGTAAAAAAAAACAAAATTGCTAGCTTTACAGAAGATTCGTTTTCTTACTTGCATAACTGATCATGAAGAAGTTGATTGGAACAATATGGATTACCTACTAATGACATTCTGGTTCCCATGCAGTTTTCGAATATTATTAATTTGACTATGATCTTCGGAAATTGTGGCGATAAGACATTTTTGATTCGAATCGAAACATTATTCTGAATAGTGGGAATCTCATTGAAATCGAAATGTTGATACATCTCGGGAGCCGGATGTGCGGTGTTATGTCAAGGCACGATATATTTCAACAATGAAATCATACTGTTTGAAAATACGAATTCAGTTATTCACATACTCTGTTCATATATTCGAACATTTCGTCTTCATTGATTAATTGTACTCTTAAATAAATGTTCTTGAATTTTCTTGTTAATCTGCTAATTTTGTTATTCTGCTATTTTGTCCTGATATTGATGCATTCATCTGAAAATATTTCAGGAAAGTATCTGTCTGAGTACCACTCGACTTAAACATTTTTTCATATGAATGTTCCTTTTTTCAGACTCAAACTTTGGTATTTTTGAGCAATATCAATCAATATCAGCAGCAGTAGATAAAACCACTTGTTACTCGTGCTGGTTACCATAATGATATTGCTAAATAACGGTTTTTGAAAGTAATCCCTCATGATGTTGAAATTTCATAGATAAATTTACATTTTTCAACGAAGAATTCGTTATTAAGCAATCTTCTGGTGTGTTATTTAGCAACTTCTGGTGTGAATTTTGTCATATACTACAAAAAGGCATCAAGTTGTGGATGTTAACGGTTATCAGTCAGCACCTCTTGTGGTTTCATCAGGTGTACCACAGGAGAGTCACTTGGGACCATTATTCTTTATAATTTATTTGAACATTTCAAATTTTTGCTATGTGCAGACGACCTCAAGATCTATCGCACGATCAAAGAAATTCAGGGTTATAAAAGATTGCAAAATGACCTTGATGCATTTGCAGAATTCTGTGGCAATAGTATCTCATTGATTTTGGAAACCAAATAGGAAATCATACAATTGAAACAGTAAATGAAGTACCCAATTTAGGAGTAATAATGCAATCCAAAATGATTTCAAAATCTTAAATAGAAAAAACCGTTAATATGTGTAATAGTTCATTGGGATTCATTATTAAAAATATGAGACATTTTAGAAACGCAAAAACTGCTAAACCTAACAATTAGCTCGTAAAACAAACATTTCAATAATGGATGGAAGTCTTCGTCCAGTTTTTGAAAAATATTCCCTGTTTGTCTTGAAGATAGGAGGAAAATGTCAGATCTATTAATGTTGTACAAAATATTCTATAATCCTGTCGTTTTCCAAAGTTTGCTACCCCATTTAGACAAACCATTTCAGGTGAAAACTTTCCTTTAGGTATGAAGAATTCCCAGATCCTTTACTAATTATCGCAACGATATTGAAAAACTGAGGTTTCTTTTCATTAGATTTGAAAACAATGTGAAATCTATTGTTATGCATGATTAGTTATTGGTTGTTAATTTTTTTCATATGTACTAGTGTACTTACTGTTCATATATTGTTTACTTACTTGTTTACTACTATCATATGTGAAATGATGATATTTTTAGATTTATCATGTATGTGTCTCAATATTAAGTTTTAACTACATATATAAAGTTGTAGTTGAATGCAAAGTTCAATTTTCGCAGCTACGCAAATAACTGCTAAACTGTTTTTCCACTTAACCTAAAAAGTCTCATATTAAGCATATGTGACGGAAAATGAGTTTTTATATGATTTTATTGGTTGAATTCAATTTGACTGGGACAGTGACGGTGATTTAAATTGTGAGAATGCTGCATAAGTAGGTTCTGAGAGTCACGTATGATTGAAAAATAATGACACCTAAGATGTTAATTTCATGGTTTTTGCTATATAACTCTGTCTTGGTGGCCTGACCTTCAATTTTTTTACTATTTTATCGGTTTGAAAAAAATTATCGTCAAAAAATAGGAATTTATCAATGAGAGTTTTATTTCTAGAAAATGAAAGTCTAATTGAGTCTTCTCTGAGATATTATCAACAGGAAAAGCCTAGTGTAATAAGATTGTTTCCATAACTTCAAAGATTTTCATTGATATTATTTCGATTAGTTTATTTTTATTTTTGGTAAACACAATATGAAGGAATCCTTCGTTGTTTGGTATTTTTCTGTTAAGTTCTGTCAAAGTTACAATAACTTCGCAGTTGATTGCCTCATTATAGAAACTTCCGCATTGGTGATGAACCGAATAACCTAGGGAGAACGGTTCAACAAAATGCGTCACTTGCTTCAGGATTTCATCATAGTGGCTAATTAGTAATATTGCTTTCCTCTGCTCTTACAGCTACTATAATTAGGAACACTCCTTGAGGGAAAATGCATCGTCGTTAATAATCAAAAACAGAAAGCAATCAAAATAGTTTATTGAACACTGATAACATACATAAAATCACAGCATGCCTAAAACATCATTTCACAAAAAATAAGCAGTCCGCTCGTATAGATTGGAAAAGTTATAGATCATGCATTATAAACACAGAACTAATCAAAAAGGCATGCGAATTAAAGAAATACTCGTCAAGTAATGTCAGTTGGAGTCCCTTTACGATTATCTGTTTGATGTCTCTACTATGTACGAGATGGATAGTTATAAGATTTTCCATATGAGATGAAATTGGCCTAAACTTGATGAAAATCCATAACAGTTCACAAAACTGTAACACGTGTTTCGTTATACAATAGCTTCATCAATAGTTTTCGATCTCAAAAAGTTCTAATTGAATTCGAGGTGTGTTAAAAATAATGTGAACGTTCAAAGTTCCCGGGCTACGTATATTCGATTAGCGATTTTTTTATTATTTTATGTTGGTAAACTCGTTTCGAACATAAGGATCTCAGTTTCAGCTGTTTAACTTATTTAGTTTGTTGCTGACAAGCATAAAAGTTAGAAGTGTTTTTAGTTGGGGCTGAATTCCAAAAAAGCACCTCGTTACAATCCCATAAGTATTTACCCCCTATTTCGGCCACGCTGAATCCGATAATACCCTTTATCAAGTCGAAATTCGAACCGGAAGTGGGATATTCAAGATGGCGTCCAAAATACCTCTAAAATCATATTATTTTCTACTTTTGGTCACCCATATGACTAATGTGTCGATGCACATGTTTTCGGAGCAGTGGAACACGATAAGATACTTAAAAATCAAATTGAAACATTAAAAGTTCAGTATATAATTAAATTTTGATAAAATGGGCCAAAATTAAACTGTGAAAACGTGTTCCATATGTTTTCATATGTTTTGGAGGGCGGTGAATGCGTATTCGCCCTTCAAAAATAATTTGGTACATTTAACGTTCATTAAATTCCAACATTTTAATGCTCTTCATGATATGGGGGAGGGGGGGTTGTTTGTTCAATAAACTGGTCGTACATAATTCTCTCACCGCGTTTCCTTTCTGCCTTTCTTCTACACATCATCTGTTTAAAATTTGGCGCCATGCACTGTCTGCAACTGAGCGTTTTCGAGATGGCCGTGAGTCAGGTGCCGGTGATTCCCCGGAATATAGTATTGTGAAACATACAGTATTTTCATATGTATACTTTTACAAGTTTCAGTGCTTCAAGGTATGTAAAAAAATTGATTAGGAGTGCAAAGTGATATACATGCGGCAGTAAAGATAGTACTTCGACGGATGCACATACGACAATAAACGACTAGCCTAGGGATTCGAGGTTAGGTTTTCATATGGATGTCTAAGGCAAAAAAATTGCTTTCTTTTTAGATTTTGATGTAACAATATTCAGGATGGACGACAACGATTGCAATTCAGAAGAACCGTCTGTAGTTACCTGCAATTTGTGCCTTATTTGTCAGACGAGGAAAGGTAAAGATGATGAAAAACATCTTTCGAATTTGTCCAGTCAGGGTGCAACCAAGCTGATAGAATGTGCCAAACAACGTAAAACAGCCCACAGTTGTCTGCTGTCTATCACTTAGAAAAAATGAAATGCAAGGAATGCTGGTGATATGTGGTACTTTCCGAGACAGAAATCATATTCCAATTCACGAACTGTGTAAGAAGCTCACACCACAACAGATCAAAAACCTGTTGGCTTTCCACGCAATCATCGGATGTGATACTATATCTAAGTAAGCGTCAGTAACAAAAACAGGAGGGTGGAATTTAAACTCCTCAGTCAGATTTGATAGACTCCTGATCTGGCCCTCAAGGATCTCCGTTTGGTTGAACAGTTTGTAGTGCAAGGTTCATACAAGGTTTGTTGCGTCCCTTTTCTAAGACACATAGTAAATAAAAACTGTCAGCCGTTTTAATACTAATACCATTTTTATTTCAGGTTTGACTGGATCTTACAACGGCAGACGCAATTTTGCGTGTTGCAATTTTTGGGACAGTGCGAATGCGAGAGTTTTTGCCACCTAGCCCTGAAGTCCTCCGTCAAAAGATTCTTCGGTGTCACTTCCAGGTAATATTAACAAAAAAAAAACAAGAAAATAGAAAAAATTGAGGGATTTCAATTTTATTCTGTTTTCTTTTTAGGTACTAGTGTGGATTAACGCCCATGATCAGTATCTTGATTTAACAGACCCGATTAATTGCGGCTGGAAAATTGTTGATGGACTGTATGTCTCAATCTTGATGACTTTGTCACCTATTCCCAAGTCATGTCCCGAATATGGAGCTTGTGCCTGCGGCACGAAGCACTGTGGCTACAGAAAGCCGCCGAGGGTGCCGTGCAGCAAGATGTGCAAGTGCAAGGCAAAGTGCATGAATGGAGTAGAAGAAGATGAAGAAGACTACTAATAGTGAATTATTTTGTTTCAAAATGTAAGAAATAAAGGCTTGTTCAAGGTGTTTGAAAATTGCAAATTGAATCAAACTATGACAACTTGTGACAGTATATCAGTATATAGTCAGTCTGTAGAGTAGGGAGAGTGAGTGTAGGCACACAGCACATAGGCCATATGTGACCCATTGTACATCCTCCCGAGGAGTTGTCTTCCTAGGCCAAAGTCCATCCTGTCCTTTCCAGGAAGGTGGACAGGTCACTAAGAGATATCTCCTTTATATTGTCAGATGTAAGTCAAAACTCGTCGAACACACCCTCTTTTATTGCCGATAATTCAGGGCACTACACTAGCATAGGACATGCCTGACAGTTTCATTGTGTGTCCACTAGTCCCATAATATGGAAGTGTTTATACAGTGCGGTCCATATGTATGGAATAAATTCATTTTTAGCGTTATTATGTACTATGTGAAAAAAACATGAAACAGGTCGAAAATATTATCCCCCTCCAGCACCCCTTCTGAATTATAAGCACCCCCTCGAAAATTTTGAATAGCAAAGGGGGTCGTGTGGCACCTTGTTGGAGAGGGATTTTAGTCCTCTGTTCAGCAATATAAAGTTTTTTGAGTTTGGTGCAATCATAACTGAGAAAATTGATTTTTAGGATGTAAAATTTTGATAATGTCTCTAGGTATCACAAAACTGTACGTAGAATGAAGATAATAATGCCACATAATATTTAGAATGTATTTTTCAATGTACTTTACAATTAAATTAAATATTCAAAATGACCACCTTTAACTTCTTGACAATAACCGAGGCAATTTTGGAATTCTCGTACAACATTTTGTATGACCTCGGGGGTTATTTTGTTAATTTCTTCCGTTATCCTAACTTTTAAATCAGCAATATTGTTTGGTCTATTGAAATATACTTTAGATTTTGAATAACCCCATAAGAAGTGATCGAGAGGAGTCAAATCGGGGGATCTAGCCGGCCATTCGATCGTTCTACGTCTTCCAATCCACCTATTGGGAAAAACGTCGTTTAAAATGCGGTGGAGCTCCGTCTTGTTGGTAGTAAATAGTTCGATCTATCTCATTTGGATGATTAACATCAGGAAAATGTATTTGTAATGTAGGCACTAAAAAGTTAATCAAAAAATTTAGATGATCCTCACCATTAACAGTGCCCTCAAAAAAATAAGGGCCAATAATTTCATTGTTAATGATACCAGCCCAAACGTTAACTTTTTAGGATATTGAGTGTGAGTCGCACACATCCAGTGAGGATTTTGTCTGCTCCAATATCTACAGTTCTGTCTGTTAACTGTTCCGTTCAAATGAAACGTCGCTTCATCAGAAAACACTATTTTGTTTATGAACTGCAAATCTGCGTTCATTCTGTCCATTATCAATTCACAGAATTCTTGCCTTCTATCAGGATCATCTTCATTTAACTCCTGAACCAACTGAACTCTGAAAATTGATGATTTACTTACATCATTGTCGGCGGCAAGTTCTCGAGTTGTCTTATGCGGATTTTCCTCAATCTCTAGAAGTACATCTAACTTTTTTCATCAGTAAATTGAACATTTCTACCTGGTTTTCCGAAATTTTTCACATGTCCAGCTTCACGAAACTTTTTTTCAATTTTGCTTACTGTAGACTGCGACACGTGTTGACCAGGGTATTTATTATTAAAAATATCACAAACATTCTTTTGAGTTCTTGTTTTATTACCACAACCAATCATAATTAAAATGTCTATTCTTTGAGTCTCGGACAAATGAGCCATAATTAAATTTAATACGCCCACAAATATTATACTGACGTCTGTTATAACTTCAAATACCTAAATGACAGCAGCCTACTAGATTCATATCAATTGTTTATTTGGCTTTTTGTCTAATAGTTTAGTATCTTCATGGATTTTTTCCAGGATTCAAGGTTAGTAAGGAGCGTGTTATAGGGATGGTCTGTTTAATATATCAGGTTATTGTCAAGAAGTGAATAATGGTGGTCATTCTGAACATTTAATTTAATTGTAAAAATTAATTTTCTCAGATATTGAAACAAAGAAATTATCAAATTTCAGAAAGTTGAAAATGTTTAGATCTATTCAAAAGGGAGATTTATATTTCTCCGTCTTTGTACAAAAAAATAAATGTGGGAAACGTCCGAAAAAGAGCAACTACGTTCAAAATGCATAACAAAGATGAATGGATCATACCTATACATTCATTTCAGACACAACCTAGAAGAAAAAGCCCTCCCGTAACAAGTACTTTCACATAAATATAAAATTACACGAAAAAGGTATTTTTCCAAAAATTCGTTACGAAATTGAAACTGATATCATTCACAGGCAAACTAAATCAAAAAGATTTTTTCTCAAAATGTTTTTCTGAATTATCCACTATATCTATTCTCCGTACCCTACGTCTCATTCTGTGTTTAATCTATGTAAGTTTCTATCTACTCTACTTAATTACATAACCGTTGATTGAAGAATTCGACATGTAGGAAAGAAAAATGTGGACATATCAGATTTCTTTGGAAATCGAAGTCAAATCACTTTTTTCAATCAGAGGGCTCTTCTCACCAAAGATATAAGAAAAATGAGAGTTGCAGACGTCAAAATTATATATTGCATTTGAATAATTATTCACCAACACAAAACACATACATTGGATGCAGAATAACCAAAATTCCATACAATACTCACTTTGTACACCCTGTTTCTTTCAGTGAGCTCATCAAAAATGGAATACATTTCGTTTAACATTGAAACTACTTCCATGGGAGTGATCCTGCTGCATATTTCCGTGAAAGTAACGACGTCGGAAAATAAAATGGAAACGTTGTCGAACATCTACAAAAATATGATTTATTCATTAACGTGATCTCATAGAATGTAATAATACATATTTATTTTCCATTTCATGATGGAGAAAGAGGACGTGAGTTGATAATTTAATTTCTTCATTCAGGAGTAGAGGCGTGCAATGTACATTCTATTCCAAACATAAGCAATGAAATAGAGATTAGAGATTGAGCAAAGACTGAGTGAGTCGTTGCTAACACATCAAGGTACTACCTTCTTCCTAGCAGTGTACGCATATAGATAGCACTGAAGATGTCTGTCGCAGTAGCAGAAGAAACGTCTAGTAACTCCAACCGCGAAAGTTTATGTTTTTATATCATACTTCAGGCCATACTTGGGGCCGCCTCATCAGGTTTAGATGATAACAAGAAAAAGTTCCTTCAAAAATGGACGGTTTTTTCGCCACATCCATATGGCCTAACAAGAATCCACGAAGGAAATGTTAAAGAATACGAAAGGACTGAAAGAATGAAATGTCCCTTTGATCAATGAGATGAAAGATATGAGGTTGAATCCAGGAGACAAACTAGTGAGCTTCGACATGGTATCCTTATATGTGATGGTTAGAAAGATACTATACAACTACTTAGCGAAGTATTTCCATCAGACATAGCCTCCCTGTTCACTCACAGTTTATTATTGACTTGCTTTCTAGGAACAAATGAATGGCACCCAAGGAACAACCGCATTCTTGGATGTACTTGTAGAAAAACTTGAAGATGGAACAAAAAGTCACACAGTGTACTCATATAAGAAATTCATGATCAGAGCTTTGGATCTAGGTTAGGTTGAGTCTGAAGTGAATGTGTCTATTCTACCCCCCACCGCAACCCGCAAGGGTTTATTGTGGCCCACACCTATTCACACTCGACCAAATAAACCCAGCTCCTTGACGAAGCCGATTTGTTTGTATGGTGAGTGGTCTTTCAGGTCAGATGGTAAGAGTACGGCTCCGCCGAACTCTTAAAACCTAATTCCGTCCCCAGCGGGACAGGCACGAAGTATGTGCTCTGCTGTATCATCATTTTCCAAACAGAGGCGACACACACTCTCTTCTGCATATGAAGATTCAAATGACAGTAACCTGTAAGAAGGCCTGTTAGATATCGTAGTTCATCCCTACTGTAGTCCAACAACTGTTTGGTATCAATATTCGAAGGGTGAATAAACGCTTTGGAGTGAGCCAATCCTGGAAGATTCTGCCAGAAGTCCATGAATCTTCTTGCCATCCAGGTGTTCAATATTTGTTTGGTAAAGCCTAAAGTGATGCTAATGACAGGTTCTGGTCCGATGAATTTGCTTGCAGCACCCTCCTTTGCAAGGGAATCAGCAGCCTAATTGCCTGCCAGGCCAGTATGGCCAGGAATCCAGACCAGAGCCAATCTGTTTAGTCTTCCTATCGAGGAGAGTCGTTTTCGGAATTTGCTACCAATTTAGACGTTGCGTTGCACGGTAGGAGCCAAGAGCTTTCAACGCCGCTTGACTGTCCGAGAATATTTTTATTGACTTGTGTCCTGGGTCTGCGACTGAAAACACCTGCACCAGAACCGGAAGGTGTTTTTGATTCATCTGTGAACCAACAACTATCTGCTTTGGATCTAAATAAAAACTCCAATTTTCAGCCACCAAAAAATAGGGAAGTAATTAAAACTTTAGTTGATAATGCCCGACGCATCTGTGAACTTGCGAGAATCACAGAGGAAATAAATCTTCTGCAGAATGCCTTTGAAGGGGATGAGTATAGCAAAGTCGCAATCGAGAAGATAGCACTATCTAGGAAAGAAAATGATAGGGTATCTCCATATGGGCCTGCCAATTGAAAATATTTCCTGCTCTATGTGAAAAATGCTATGGATCGGATTGGACGAATTCTGGAGAAACAACGTGAAATCTATATTCGAAACAATGGAAACCACCGGAGAGAGTCAGTTAAGTACCACACGGGACTTTTTGCAATACACCTGGAGCATACAGGATCTCTTGTAGCTGTGAATTGGTCTAGTTTGGAGCCACGAAGTGAAGTATGAATACCTGTATTTTTGAACCTATCTGGGGCATACCAACGAAACAAAAAAGGCGGACTATGCACTCGGAGATGACACCCACATGATCGCGTTTAAAGAAACTCAACTCGATAGAATCCGGAACTAATATTTAAAACTATATGAGCAGGCGAAAGAAATTCAAAAAGACAGCAAGAAACAGGTAATTAACATCGATAAAGTCTGGCTACCTGTACTTAATTGCATATTTTCAAGGTTATTTAACTCAACCAACAGGAACGAAGCCACCCCACCACCAATGAGATGAAACCGGAAACCCAAACCATTAACGTAGTATCCGCTGTAAGGAATATAAGAGCACTTCGTCCGTTGCCTTATCGCCTTCAATAATGTCTACCTGCAGACCACAACCAACAAACTCGGGCAGTTATCTCCGGTTGTGAATGTTTACACTCTATTATGTACTAATTCATAAATAATAGATTGTGAGGGCACAAGTTGATAAAATATTCATTTCATTAACAACCTGTTTGTTACCTCGCACGTATCTATCGGGTTCTCTCCCTTCCTTAGTCTGTCGGCAACTTGTTTGGGTATCATCTGGTATAATAACTCATCGGTTCTCTTCATCTCCTCATCCAGTTTCCTCATCGATTCTTCTAACTTCTTACTCTTTTGTTGTTCTTGATCTAAAGCTAACTTAAGTTCTACAGATTGTTGGGTTCCGGCCAACATAAGGTCTCTGAAAAATAATAAGGTCATGAAGATTCGTGATGATTATACAGGATATTCCAAATTAGGTGATTACATTCGGTAAATTTTGTATTATTGGAGATATTGTATCGTTTCAATGGCAAACTATCAGTGTTTTTAGGTGCTCAAAGAACGGTGTCTGTGCGAAAATAGTGATTTACAAATTCACATTGGATTTGAATCGCTGGAGATCTATTTGAAAAAACGTTCTCAGGAAGTTTATTCCACATAAACGCAGTTGTCCAAATGAAAGAGTTCTAGCACAATGGAGTTCGAGGAGTACTGAGTTGAATCTCAAAACGATGAGCAGCCGTTCTCCGTCGCGTGTTTCTGATATGTACCGTTCTTGGTGAAATCGAATGTGCCAAGTCACTTGAACACTTCCCGTGAAAGTATCTATAGAAACAAATCTTCAACCTTTCTTCGATGTTCCAGACTATCAAGGATGCAAGTGATATTCGCGTCTCCAATCAGGCGGATGGCTCTTTTCTGAATGAAATCCAGCAGCTTCAGGGTATGCTAGGGAGCGGATCTCCATACATGGGGAAAATACTCCAAAAAAGTCTGACCTGAGCTTCATAAAACAAGGTAGAAGTAAAAAACAACTATGTGTGCCTTTTTGACCTTTTGAGTGAAGTAATATTTTCACTAACGAAACAAGATATTAGAGTTCATTGAGAAAATGACAGAAATTACTATATAACATATTTGTTTAAGGAATCTCAAAAAAAGGTCTCACAAAAATTATGTTATGGTAGCAGATTGAGTTTAAAAAAAACTAGCAACAGTTATCCTATTATATTCTATCCTATCTGTCTGTCTGACTAACGAGGTCTTACCTTTTAACGTGTGATTCCTATCCTCTCCTACGATATCCTACACTAAACTAACCTATTCTATAGCAACAGTTATCCTATTCTATCCTATCCTATCCTATTCTATATTCTATCCTATCTGTCTGTTTAAAAAAATCTCAACTCAGAAGTTGAGAAACTTGTGCGAGCTAAGGACCAACGAGGTCTTACCTTTTAACTTGTGATTCCTATCCTCTCCTACGATACCCTACACTAAACTAACCTATTTTATTTGTTTTTTTTTGTTCTATGACGAATCGATTTGATCATCTGCTTTATCAACTTCATACTCCCGAATGATGTTTTGGAGAATTTTAGCTTTTCAAGATCACTAAATCACTTTGATTCACTCACATTACAGCTTTGCGATCATTTCTGCACCAACAAAAGTCACTGTTTGGCGAAAATGTTATGTTTGATGAGTAATCAAATTACTACTCTAATATAAATTTACGGTGAGAATTGATCTTATTTTTATCACCACATGCACCAACTAAGTCATACCGAATTACGAATGAACAATTTTGTAAAAGCCGTACCGGAATTCATCACCTTTGCATTATGATCACTTTTCCAAAAATGAAAATGCTTTCCTATTTCCTTTTTTTTAAAGACAAAACACAGGTACTCTATTTGGAAAAACGTTCTTAGGAAATTTATTCCACATAATCGCCGTTCTCCAAATGAAAAAGTTCTTAAACAGTGGAGTTCGAGGTGTACTGAGTTGAAACGATGAGCAGCCACAGTCCGTCGCGTATTCCTGATGTATACCGCTCTTGGTGGAATCAAATGTGCCAAGTTACTTGAACACTTTCCGTGAAAGTATCTATTAGAAGAGAGATAAATCTCCAACCAATCTTCCAGACTATCAAGGTTGCAAGTGATGTTCTCGTCTTCAATCAGGCGAATGCCTCTTTTCTGGATGGAATCCAGCAGCTTCGGGGTATGGTTGGGAGCTGAGCTTCATACATGAGAACAATACTCCAAAGAAGGTCAGATCTGAACTTTATAAAGCATCAAAAGTTGCTGAGATGCATACAATTTTCTGGTTCGGAACAATGTTCCAAGCTTTTGAGAAGCAGCCTTTGCAATTCCAGCGACATGACTGTGCCAAGACATATTGGCGTCCATTTTAACTCCCAACAAATCGAAGCAGAATGTTTCCGGTTCGGAGACATTCATCTTCTTGGAGAAAACCGATGCCTGGGTTTTTGTGGAATTGAATTGAACCTGGTTACTTTCATCCCAATTCGAAATCACTTCTAGATCCTCATTAACATATTCAACCTCCTGCTGCCGGTGAAGATGTGCTTCCGTAGCCGATGTCACATTTTTCAACGACGTTCAGCAATAAATTATCTCTGCGTAATTGTATCTAAATTTATAAAGGCAGTACAAGACGTTTTGAAAATTCACCCGCCTCCCCACACATGAATTGTTTTCATTTTTATACGATTTCCACGTGTACCACTTCCAGCTGACGGCATTAGGCTGAAACTCATTTTTCACTTCAGTGCCATGGCAATCATTCATTTTGAAGAGGTATTATATGACCCCCTTAAATTTAACGCTAGTTGCACACACACCGATTTTGGACGGCCGATTTTATACCGGTCGTCCAAATTCCAATAGTGACCCATATGTGGCAATGGGACCTTGCACACATGCTTACTGGTGATTCACGCCGATCATCGGTAGGCATGTGTGCAAGGTTCCGTTCCCTCATGTGGTTCACTATTGGAATTTGGACGACCGGTACAAAGTCGGCCGTCCAAAATCGGTGTGTGTGTGCAACTAGCGTAAAGTGTGCTTGCGGTGAATTTGTGTATATGGGTTTGATGCCGATATGCTATTTTGGCGAAGTCGCCTGGTATAGTGGCGTACCTACTGAAATCGTGCATGGAAAGATCGTTGATGTAAAGGCCAGAGTTTATAAGCGAGTTGAGATCAGGCATCACAGGAGTCCCTAAGTACATCATCAGTTTCCATTTTTCCATGTAAATCATCTGACCTGAAAAAAAGGCATTTTTTATTGACTCATAACGACTATAAAACAATTAGTTAGCTATGATGAAGTAGCATTGAATGACTCAGTTCCTCAGAACTAAATTTTCTGTTCGTTTATCAACTTTTATTTGGAAATTCTAGGTTTGAAATTTGAACTAGTTATCCGGTCAATTTAGACATTCGAGGGTACAAAAATTCGCACCCGCTTCAAAGTTGATAGGATTATTCAATACACCATTATAAATGAAATATAAAAAATCTTTCTCTATCCGATACCTGGGAAAAAATTTACTCTGGGTCAAAAGTCGTAAAAATGGGGTTTTCGCGATTTTCAGCAAAACGGTAAGTTTTATAAAAAATCAGTTCAGACAAAATTTGTAGATCAGACCTACAATCTACAGAAAATGTCCAGATAATTTTTTTTGTATCCCTGCATCGCGGGGGTCGTATAAGAAGAAGAAAGGGAAGCAGATGTATTAGAGAATTATGAATTAGGCGAATAAATTTCCCCAATTTTTTCAAATTTACACCGCTTTAATAATTTTCCAATTGCCAATATCTTCTAATATTTCGATAGTTTCAAACTGAACAGAATTCTAACAGATCCGTGGAATAGGTCTTTCGAGAACACCACGTTGAAAAAACGCTTTAAGTACACTACATAAAAGATGGCGTGTAAACATGTGCATATTACGATGATTACAACTCGATTACAACTTATAGATTATTGTCAGATCTACAATTTCTGTTTGATTTAATTTTATGATAAAGCGAAGCGTTTTAACCCTGAGTTATTTTTTTTTCAGATATAGTTTCGATTAGTATTTTTCAGATTTCATTCATGATTTTGAATAATTCTACCTTCACTTCTATTTTTTGGCCGGATATTAGGTGCAATTAGTATAGAAACGGTTATACGAAAAGTGTAGGGAATAGTACAAGATATTTTTTTCAACCGACTCCTTTTACTTCCTTGAAACTTACTTGATTATATAATACGCATGGATAGTTTGTTTTTATATTTGAATATTCTCTGATAATGCATCTCTGTTTATTTTTCAGATTGTGAAAGGTTGAAAAACTAGTGGAACAGAAAAAACGTTGACTTCTCCGAAAGTTTACAAAACAAGTTTATAGAATTTTTGGTCTTTGCTGGGTCTATTCCACCTTCCACCGCAACCCGCAAGGGTTTATTGTGGCGCACACCTATTCACACTCGACCAAATGAACCCAGCTTCTTAGCGAAGTCGATTAGTTCGTATGTTGAGTGGTCTTTCAGGTCAGATACTTAGAGTACGGCTCTGCCGAACTCTTAAAACCTGATTCGGTCCCCAGTGGGGTTGGCACAAAGTGTGTGCTCTGCTGTGTCATCATTTTCTAAACAGAAGCGACACACACTGTCTTCCGACAGTCCGAGTCTCTGCATGTGATGAATCAAATGACAGTGACCTGTAAGAATGCCTGTTAAACATCGTAGTTCATCCGTACTGTAGTCCAACAACTGTTTTGTATCAAGCTTCGAAAGGTAAATACACGCCTTGTAGTGACCAAAGGAGTCAGCAGCCTCGTTGCCTTCCAAGCCAGTATGGCCAGGAATCCACACCAGAGACATTCTGTCGAGTCTCCCTATCGAGATGGATCGTTTTTGATAATGTGTTACCAGTTTAGACGTTGCTCGGTAGGAGCCAAGAGCTTCCAACGCCGCTTGACTGTCCGAAACTATTTTTATATACTTGTGTATGAGGTTGGATTCTTCCAATCTCTCCGCACACAATTCAATAGCGTAAATTTCCGCTTGAAATACAGTCGCATAGGTTCCTAGGCAGATTGATATTTCTGTCGTGGGTCTGCGACTGAAAACACCTGCACCAAAACCGGAAGGTGTTTTTTCCCTCTGTGAACCAACAACTATCTGCTCCTAAAATTTCCTTTTCCCGGAGGGTCCAGTCCTCTCTACTCGGGAACAGTACTTTATAAGGCAGTTCGTAGTTGACAGTTGGAAGCATAAAGTCTGAGGTCATTTCCAGAATGCTGTGACTTTGAATGTCAACCAACAATCTGTTGCACTCTGCATTGAATTGATTTGTGCAATTGGCAATGTGCACAAGTCTATATGCAGTCATTCTGGCCCCTCTCTCCAAAAAAATGTGGAGAGGAGGTAGATCTAGAAGGATCTCCATGGCCGCTGACGGTGTGGTACTGATGGCACCACAGATAGCCAGACAAGCCTGTCTCTGTAAGCCAGTGAGCTTCGCCTGAGCCGTTTTCTGTACAGCCTTCGGCCACCAGGCAATTGCACCATAAGTGATCATTGATCTGACAATCATCACCCTAATCCAATGGATTTGTTTAGAACCTGAAATCCAAGTTGAAAAGGTCATTTGCATAAGCTTGCAGATCTACTTTTCATCTGTCGAGGGCATCAAGCAGATTATCCATCAGGAGCGACCACAGGAGGGGGTAGTACCCCTTCTTGAGGGCAGCGTCTGGTGATCTTGAATCTCGTGAAGTTAATGAGAAAAATCTTGTCATACATTCGTACAATGAATAACGAACCAGTAGCTTTTACATTTCATTGATCCTTATTTCTCAGCGTACACCCCCTCTTTTGAACGAAGTATGTATGTAAAAAGGTGTCATTTTCAGTACTTTTTGAAAAAAACAACGAAAATGTAGCATAATTCGTGGCCGAGAGGGCGCTACAAACTGTTTTTCTTGTGATACCTCGTTTGATAGGTATTTCAATTTTCCAAAAAAGCAATCAGATGGGAAGAGAAAACCAAGATATTTCCTGAACGGAATCTCACTGCATAGATTCACATCAGGGATATGTTTCGCGAGATTTTGAGGGTGAACTGTTGAGTGAAGATGTATCCCAAACTATTAGGTTGTTTCGAAAGTTTCGTTCGTTTTGATGTCACGTGTTTTGTAGCTCCATATCTCAATAAATATTTATTCTACTTCGCTGTGATATACAGAGTGGGCCAACTTGAACACTTTTAAAGGAAAACTCCTGTTTTCAAACTAGAGAGATGAAAATTGATGGCTTTGCCTGAAGGTCAAATTTTATAACAAAGTTAATAGTGAAAACTGTATATCTATATCTTTTGTCGTTCCTGAGTTACATCATATTTTTCGAAAATGTGCCTTTTCGAAAAGTTGCTGTAACTTGTTTCCTGTCAAAAATTTCCTGTTTCTATGGAAAGCTTCCAAAGCACTTTATTACGTAGAATTCCATGGTGTAAAAAACTTATTTATTCAAATGAGTCATATACATATACATATAATGAGTCATATACAATATCAGTAGTTATTGATGAAAAACTTTTTTAATGAAACACCCTGTATGTTGACTACCATCAATCAAGTTGAGTTACATCTTGCGAAAATGTCTCTAGAAGGTAATATTCTCTCTGCATACCTCTCTGGATACCTCTCTTGATACCAATTGCTTGCCGCTTCTGCATTTTCCCCGGTTTGTATAAAACAGATTATCATATCCCATTTCTCATAATTCTCATAATTCATTGCGAATGTGTTCGAAAATCGAACAAAAAACAACTAATTGAAGAGTGTCTTAACTGGTCAAATCAAAATTTGACAGCTACTAGTGAAGATTTGCATTCTGTTTTATCGCCGCATCGTCCAAAAAACCAAAGTGTGCGTTTCAAAGTCTACATGAAAAAACCTGAAAGCTCTGCATTTCGAAGATTACACTAACAAAACATCAAGGAGAAACAAGAAAGTTCTGACAGAAAAATAGCTACAGCAACTTTTCAAAAATGCAAATTTTCGAAAACACGATGTAACTCAGAAACGATGGTAGATATCGACATGCCGTTTTCACCATTAAGTTTGTTACAAAATTTGATCCTCAGATACAGCCATCGGTTCTCATCTATCTAGTTTGAAAACAGTAATTTTCCTTTTAAAAGTGTCCAATTTGATCCGTCCTGTACACTAATCTATAGAAAATTTTGTATTGTATACATTGATGCTGTTGATTTTTACAAATTTTAATTTTTTGTTTTTTTTTTCAGTTTATCACTATATGATGTCCTTAAGCAATGTTTGACCAACTTTCCTTCACGAATTCAAATTGAATCAAAGCGCTGCAGAAACATCCCGAAAAATCAACCAGGTATTTGGCGATGATAGTGTTAATGAACGCAGTGTTTGACGTTGGTTTACGAAATTTATTTACGAAGATTTTAGCCTCGAAGATGAGCCCCGATGTGGTCAAACTACCAAAATCCAGGACGAGGATTCGAGGACTGTGGTGGAGGCTGACCTATCATAAACGGTGCGTGGGATGGAGGAAGAACTGGGCGTCAGCACCCATGCGGTTTTTGATGGTTTGAAAAGTATTGGAAAGTCAAGAAACTCGAGAAGAGAGTGCCCCACGATTTCAATGATCGACAAAAATTCTGTTCTTCTTTGCTTTTGGGCAACCGAAACGATACTTTTTTTGGATCGGATCGTTACGTGTAGAGTGGATCCTCTACAACAACAAGATACGTTCAGGAAAGTGGTTCGACACCAATGAGCCACTCAGGCACTTTCCAAAGGCGAAAACACACTAAAAAAAACAAGGTTACTATAGCGGCTGGTGTGATTTACTATAACTTTCTGCAAAAGGCCAAACCATCTCAGCAGAGTCCTATTGAGACGAAATGTATCGAAAATTGCGTCAGTAGCAGCCAGCAGTGGTTACCAGAAGATGTCCTATCCTGCCCCTTCGCACGTTCTACAAATCACCGTCAAAAAATCAAACGAATTGAGCGTCGAAGTTCTGCTTCACCCACCATACTTTCCAGACCTCTCGCCAACTGACCATATTCTCAAGCACTTCGATAACTTTCTCACTGGTAGAATCGGACTATTTCAGTTATTGCTCAATATTGTATGAAGATTTAAAAAGCCATTAAGACGATCTAAAAACAATACTGAAATTTTTTTGATAAATCGGTAGTGTGACTGGCTAACAGTTCTCTATATGTAAGAGATCACCCCTTCTTATGTAACGCCGTTTTACTTTTTATTGTCACAAATATTCATTCCTCAATTTATTCAACTAACAATTTATTTGTTTGAATTTAATTGATTCATGCATTTCTTCGACACATTAAAAACGATTGTTCGCAAAATTTGTTCTATTTTAAATGACACTTGTTTTAAAATGTTACATGAATTAATTTGTTTGATGAAAAGTTGCGAACAGTTTTAATTTAGATTCATTGTTTGAAATTTTTTGGAGTAAATGTTTGTCATATATACTTTTTTTGTAACCATCGAATAATTTACTATAATTTCTATGAAACATGAATAAAATTGTTTATTGATAATTATAGTTACATGCATTAAAACGATTGTTGATAATTTTAATTCGGCGCTAGCGTCGAGCGGATTCTTGCAGAAGCTGAATTTTTAAATCTGGCAACATGATAGTCTAGTGATAATAACACAATATTCCGTCCGACCGCAGCGCTGAATAAAAATTATCAACAATCAATTTAGTTTATGTATCACCTAAAAGCAACAATCAAAACGATTCATTTCTACAAAATACCAACGGCGTGGCACGCCATTTTACTTTTTATTAATATTCCTTTGAAATGTGCTGGATTATTTTGTTTGTTGAATTTCAGTGATACATGAATTTAATTGATTGTTGATAATTTTTATTCGGCGCTGACGACGAGCGTATTTTTGTGGAACTACATAACTGCATATATATATGGTGTTGGTCATAGTACGGTAATAATCCGTTCGACCGCAGCGGCCAATAAAATATATCAACAAACAATTTAATTCATGTATCACTGAAATGCATCAAACAAATTAATTCAATTCTTTCCAAAGGAATAATAATAAAAAGTAAAACGGCATGGCATATTCATTTGAAATGAGCTGGATTATTTTGTTTGTTGAATTTCAGTGATACATGAATTAAATTGATTGTTGGATAATTTTTATTCGGCGCCACGTTTGAACGGCGTTTTGTCGTACTATAAACGAACTAGCATGTTGCCATATGTGACACTTGAAGTTCTTGATAAATCCGCTCGATACCAGCGCCGAATTAAAATTATCAACAATCGTTTTAAAAGTATCTTTCAAATACAACAAACTTTTCAAATCATAAAAAAATTAATTCTTTGTCAGAAATTGACTAGAATAAAATGATACTTACTTGAGAATGTTTTGCACGAAAGTTGTAACCAAATTTTAAATTAAATGCATTGAAGTGAATGTTGGAAATATTCAACACTTTCAATAAAATTAAATAATATAGATAAAATACTTTGTCTAATTTCCACTTACTTAATGTATTGATATTGATACGACCAAAGTTTCGGTTTTTACACCATTCTCAAGTATCTTAACAGTGTATCTTCAAGTATCATCAAGTATCTTAACATTGTTAAGATACTTGAGAATGGTGTGAAAACCGAAATCTTGGTCGTATTAATATCAATACATTAAGTGAGTGGAAATTAGACAAAGGTTTTTATCTATATCATTTAATTGAAGATGAATTTCCACAAAATAAATAAGTCATAAATATCACAAACTTTCGATAAAATTGAAATATAACAATCTTTATTATTTATAGAAAAATATTTAGTATGGAAAGTTAATTTGCTATATTTTCAGACAAACGAAAGTCTATTTTTATTACCAACAATGTTTCATGGGAAAACTTTGACAGTCATTCAAATATATTCATTGAAATTTTATTCCCAAACTTACTGTTAGAAAGTGAATTTAAAGTTTCATTATAATTCAACAGTCATATAAATAACTAGCATTTTATTCGAAGGTCAAAATTATATGTATGCGGAATTGAAACGTTTGTTGAATTTATTCGAATAATACATTCCATTGACTGTTGAATAACAATGTTTGTTCATTGCTGAGTTGAACTATATGTATAAATTATTTTTCAGCATAATATATAGTAAATTGGCGTTTCATTTTCCAATACTCTGAAACAATACATTTTAAATCAAGTGTAATTTAAAATAGAACAAATTTTGCGATCAATCGTTTTTAATGTGTCCAACAAATGCAAGAATCAATTAAATTCAAACAAATGAATTGTTAGGTGAATAAATTGAGGAATGAATATTTGTAACAATAAAAAGTATAACGGCGTCCAATACCTTCTGAACAAATGTACGATTTTTCCCTTTTTCTGTAGATAATTTATTTTCAATGTTCGTGTTTAACAAATAAATTTCTTCCGGGTCATAAGATTGATTTTGTAGAGGTTTCAATTCTACCTGTTGAGTTATTTTCATGGTGTATAACGATATCTGATGATACAAGTATTTTACAAAGATTAATATGCGATTTATCAAATATATATTTTCGAAATCTTACCTTTCAGTCTTATGAATCTATCCTCACTGACTTCCGTCTCATCACCATGTAGCAATTCGTCATTCATATTGAATTCCGAATGGGGTTTTTCATTCAAAACTGGTTGGACTGTCAGCAGTTCGAAAATATTATTGGTCCGATTTAGAATCTGAAACATCTTCTTTTTGAGTCACAATTATCTTCATCCCATGAAAAAAATAATGAAGTCGCAGAAGATTATTTTTTTGGGGCACTTGTGAAACTGTTCGTGGCATCAAGATTTTGGTCCGACGTTTGTTGGAAAATTTTCCTGACGTTTCAAAAAATTCCAACAGACGATACCTCAAAAATCGAAAACTACGAACAGTTAGTGGGGTGTTGGGAAAATTCACATTCACTCCTTCCAGTAGGATGTGGTGAAAGCCGAAAAACAAGTACTATAATAATAGTAAACAGAATTTACTCATCGATCAAAGATTTAACAATGCATCATATATATACACACGTATTTAAAACTCATTAGACTGGTCAAAAATACTACACATAAATTGTTGAGAAAGTGTAGGTATAGTCGCAAAACAAACCAAAATACAATAGTCTTTCATTCGTATAGTTCCTGGGCAAACTTGATGACTGACTTCAAATCAAATTTTCTCAATGAACAATTCATATAGGACAGGCTTAATTCACCTACACAGTAGGTTTTTTGGACTGACACCTATCTGAAAACAACTTCTCCCCTGGCTAATACCACGAAGGGTGTTGGATTGTAACCTACAGATGGGACGATGACAAACATGTTTGACGTTCACTTTTGCCCAGTTCGAGGAATGATACTCTGAAAGGAATTCGATTTTCAATTATCTTAAATCATCGACTTTAGGTCGGCCAAACAGGCCGAAACCGGTCTACAAGTGTGTTTCAATAACTGAAAATAGATTCCTGTAGTTGAATCGTCAACAGCATGTGCAGGAATTACTTCTGTAAAGAATTCTGCAACGCCCTTTGTGGTATCAGCCAGGGGACTAGTTGTTTTTTGATAGGTGTCAGTCCATAAACCTACTGTGTAGGTGAGTTGAGACTGGCCTGAACGAATTGTTCATTTAGATATTTTGATACAATATTTAGTTTCACAACAGTAAGGTATCAGGAAATATGAAATTCTTCAGCATTGTGAAATACTTTTTCAAGAATGAAATATTTCAATTTATTTTTGAATAGCATGTCATTTAGATTCACATTTATTATATCTCAAAACTGCATTGAAACATTTGATACCAATGTGCTTTGGTAAATTTTCATAGACTGATAACCTTGCATAGGATTGTCGAAATCTTTATTTATTCCTAGTATTATACATATGGGTATCCTCATTCCTCATCAGTTCATTTTGGTTTTTTTAATGTACATAATCAGCTCAAGAATATACAAACATGGTAGGGTTAGTATTTGGAGATTCTTGAATAATGATTTATATGTTGTAGTTGGATGAGCATTAAACATTGTTCTTATTATCTTTTTTTTGAGATAAAAATGTCCTGTCGTAGTGACAAGATGGCCCCCAAAAGATCACGCCATATTGCAGAGAGTAGACTGAACCAATAACGAGAAATTTATTACAAAAATATTTTGATTCCTTCATTACTTACAATAATCAAATTCATGACTATATACAACACAAGAACCACCAATCAATGCCACATTTCCAGGACAAGAACAAAGCAATCTATGAAATCGTTGTTTTTCAGAGGATTCAATGATTTCAACCAATTACCATGCCACATTAAAGATTCTGTTACTTTATATTCATTCAAGGCTCAGCTGAAAATATATATTACATCACGTACTCCATGAATTTTCTGTTTTTTTTTACATTTTTATGTTTCACATCATCGAATTGTGTTATTGGTTCGAGCTTTTATGTGTTCTGCATACATTGTGTTACTACGTGATATGTTAAATATTTCACTACCTACCCACTCGAACAATTGTTTTTATGCCCTAGTATTATTGTTATATGGAACTGACTATTCTGAATACTTCTGATTTGTTCTGTGTTATGGGAAAATATTCCCAGGAACACATTTCTATTTTTGCTTTTTAGCTTCTTGTCTAGATATATTATTTAAACGTATTTTATTGTTAGAAAAATGTTTATACAATTTCAATATTTTTTAAATACTATTTCTACCTTTTTGGACCTGTATTTATCCATATTAGGATTTCCTATTTTCAAATAAAGAAAAAAAATAAAATAAAAAAAAAACTAGAATATAATGATTTCAGAATGTTTGCTGGTACAATATATTGCAGGTTTTTCATTATACAGCATAAAATGCTTAGTTTTGAACAAAGAGTGTTTATGTGTGCTTTCCATTATAGCTTACTATCCAGAGTAACACCTAAGAACTTGATAGTTTCCATCCAAGCTCTCCTCTGGATGTTATGCAATACGAGTAACTGCATTAGAGATCGGGTTTACAGTAGCTAAAACGGTTTATTATCCACTCCTTGAATCCAATTTTCGTTATGGTATTTGCATTTAGGGTGTGAGTTCTACCACATGCCTTCAATCAGCATTATTGATACAAAAACGCGCAATACGATGCATACGTAAAACCAAGCCTAGGGTCTCGGCTTCTTTTCGTCTAACTGTGGCCTCCTTACGAAACAATCTCCCTTCTCTATGAAAAAATAGGAACTTGATTAACAACTTGGGCGAGCCAGTGTATAAAACCAAGAAAAGATTCAACTTCAAATTACTGCTGCCTTCTTCGACCCTAGTTAAAAATTCCATCATTTACAACGGTTTCAAAATGTTCAATCAACTTTTCCAAGCTATAAGAACAATAAATGGCCTTAGCGATCTTTAGAGAGAGTTGAAAAACTTTCTGTGAAAACTTATTATAGCTAAGCAGAATTCTACGACGATAATTTTCATTGAGTATGACTAACTTTGATAGCTACGATATTTTATTGACAAATAAAATTGATTTTGATAACCGTATTCTGAAGGTTTTTATCAGGTTATTGTCATTCACAAGTCTCTTTTCAGTTCATGTCATCATTTACTTTGTGTGATTGCATTTATATTTTCAACCAGGTTTTGTCAATAAGAAATTATTCTTCGGACAATGAAGTATATTGAGAATTGAATTGATTGAATAGATTTATCAGATAAGGTTGAGTATAGGCCATAATTTTGATTTATGTTTTTCGGCAAAAACCTGAAAATGGCCTCATCCTGAGGCCATAATCAACGCTACATATTTTTATTTCATTAGATGCCTTATTACTCAATTTTGTTAATTGGTCAATGTTATTGTGTGACATCAGAATATTAGTGTCATCAGCATATATTATCATTTGATTTGCGCAACTACAGGTGTTATCAACGTCCCTCAGAAAGGCTATGAACAATAGTGGTCCCAAGATTGTACCCTGTGGAACCTCTGAATTCATTATTCTCGAATCTAATTTCACGTTATTCACTACTATTGTCTGTGTTCTGCTTGTTAAGTATGATATTACCCATTGAAGCGAAACACCCCTAACTCTTAACCCTTCTAATTGTATTGTATTGGTATAGATATGTGGATGATATCCTGGTATGTTTCACAGAAACAAACAGACAGTTGACTAACTTTTTGAATTTCATCACTTCTCTTCACCCTTCTATCACATTCACAATAGAGATGGAACAGGACGACTCTATAAATTTTTTGGACTTGACAATAACAAAAGATAACAACAAACATGATTTTTCAATTTATCGTAAACCGGCACATACAGATATTATCATTTATAATTTCTTCACCCACCCATATCAGCACAAGGTAGCAGGTTTCAACAGTATGATCCACAGACTGACAAATGTGTCTTTGTCAGAGGCGAATTTCAATAAAGAACTGAATATAATAAAGCAAATAACCGTCAACAATGATTACGATAGCGATCTAATACATTCTTTATTATCAAAAATGTTATACGGTCAAGCTTTGAGAGAAGTTTACCCAATTCGAAGAGAAGAGGATAAAAATAGAATCTTAACTTACTTAGGCCAACCCACTACAAATATTTCAGATTTTCGTAGCAGGAGGATACTTCCCTGGCTAATACCACGATGAACATTGACTTATATTCAACAATAACTAGTGAAGTTGTATAGCGAAACACGTGTTGGGATTTTGTAAACTACCCAGTGAAAATCTCACAATGAAGTGTTATTTGAATAACAGTGAGTCTTTTGTAATATTTTTGATGGCAGTGATGTGAGTTAATAAATTTTGTATACTTCCTACGACCGTTATCGTCTTGCTGTTTGCGACAACGGAGGGATGCGAAACCATTCAATTATACGTATATTTATAGGCAAAGTGAACTCATGGATGACTCCAGAGTTATTGAACTTATCGAAATATGGAAACTTTGTGCCAGAAAAATTTGCATTTAGATTCAGTTTTTCACTTCTTCATAAATATTTACGTGAATCTTCAACGGTATAACTGACTGAGAATATAAAAAGGCTCGCTTTGGAACTTGTTCCAATTGAATTTAAACGTTATGGGAATTAATGCCTTTATATATCTGGGACCGAACGATATTGTACGGGAATGTGCATCATCAAATTAGCATTATAGAAATATTGTCATAATAATTTTGAAACTGAATGTCTTTCATAAGGAAGCAAAGAAACACCTTATTTGTTGACGAACATTTCTTGATTGGTTGTTGAGAAAGAAAGTAGGAATAGATTCATCAGTCGAAAACAATGTGGTGGATTTTTTTTGGCATATTTTCAACCTAGTCATTTTTATTTCCTAAGTGGGATGAATCTAGCAATTAATTTTCAAATGTAATGAGAGGTGAAGCGAAACCTTATGACGTAATTTATAAAATGAAATTTGCTAAGAAAAATTCTCAATATAAATTTTATCAACGTTACAATCGAATCGTGAATTTGTGTTCTTGAGATCTCATTGAAGAATCAAGATGATGTTCTATATTTATTCTCTCAAATATAGCATAAATATTATTGACTCAGTGAACACACTTAGCATTGAAGGAGAAGAGATTCAGCCTCCACGTTCTAATATATCGTAAAGGAGAAATTTCTACTAGTCTTCTTCAAATTGCAGACACGATTTTGGTTTCATTGGTCCATCCTCA